CATTCCTGGTAACAAGTTTCTATGGGACCTCCTGAAAGTCAAGAAAAGTTCTAGAAAATGCTTAAAGTTGAACTAACCTTTTATTAAAATCAAGCAATACAGCCTAGAGGCAGTAGATGCATTGTTAGCATGGTACTGTAACTACAAATAACGTAGAAATACACAAGCTAACTCATTTGTATCAGTAGTGCCTTAGTTGAACCCTGCTTGTATAACCTCAGCAAAGGGAGTTGATGTACAGCAACTTGAAGCTTTATTGCCTGCAAACGGTAGGTGAGAACGAGAACTTCGCTTCAGAGGCTGCAGCACAAGGTTTACTCACCACCCACCGGCTTCTTGCCCTGACGGGCAGAGTTAGCAATACTTCTCTCTACCATCGTGTCGAGCTTGTGGAGTTGTCAGGCGGGACTGAAGATTTCTCTTTTCCTCAGGCTGTCTTTGGAGGGAGAGATCATAGTAGAAATCCAGTACCCTGCAAACAAATTGTAGGTTGCTAGATTCTTTGCTGTTTTGGAGGGTGTGTTTCTTAAACGTTGCCGTAATGTTGCTGGTGTAAGAGGGCTAATTTGCTTACCTGGACCCCAAATTTCAGTTGCACTGAAGTCATACTTCAGCCTGTTCTCTGTAAATGCAAGCCTCCTGGTCTCCTGGAATCTGTCAAATTAAACATCCTCGGCAGAGTTAAGTACTGCGTTTCTTCTTGCTGTTTGCAAGATGACAGGATTTGACCTGGTGGTCAGTCACATGAATTTTTAAATTTAGTAAGTGTGTTTCATTTTTTGAACGTGTTTTCTAAACTCATGATTTAAAATTTTATTTGAGGGAGGTTTGTTATTGTTTTACTAATGCTGTCTGAAGATTCCAGCTGGTGCTAAATTCTCTTCCAGAATTATAAGGCTGGACGTTTTAATGGATAAAAAAAGTCCAATAGAAATTCCAGTCACCCAATCTGTCACTTTTGATTTTCATTCTGTCATTATATAAAGTCTCATGTTCTTGTATGAAAATCTGATTAAAGAATGAGACATTTGAAGCTGGCATCTGGAGTACATATCTCACTTTCATGTGCTAAAAATTTTTTGATTTATGAAATCCTTATGATGTATGAAATCCCTAGTAAATAGGTGACCAGACGCTGATAAAATCATTGTTGATAATACAGGTAATAATAAAGCCTCTCCATATACAGATATATTGAGGGAGTCGCTAAAACTTTAGGTTCCTTTAAAAAAAATATATACATGAGAAGAAAACATATGTAGAATATTAAATAAATGGTTAAAGTGGAGAGATATGCCTAATAGGTAAGCAAAACATGTGCAGGTAGATTATGTTGTGCCGTTACATTTCTCTTGAATGCCTTTGTTTGTAGTGTACCAGAGGCTGTGTCAAGGTCGATTGCATTACTGTTCTTGGAATCTCATGTCTTCTGCCTAAGGAAAAATCAAAAATACTTGTGTAATGGCAGCAAAAGTGCTACCAGAAAAATAATTTTTTCCTCACCAAATTCTTTATGCTTCCTTATTTTCTGGTATGGTGAATTCCCCCATAAAATACTGTTCTTCAAAGGCAAAGAAAACTGTAGTAATGAAAAGCACAATGCTGTCTTTTAAAAGTTTATGTATTGTCTAATAGTAATCTTTTCTTTTTTTTTCCATTTCTGCTTAAGAATCCATTTTGTAATTGTACTTGGTAAAGCTTGAGGTATCATGCTAGGTTTATTTTTGTGCAGAATCTTTGTGCTTCCTCTACTGAAAAGTTTGGAGTGGCTTTATTGGGTCACTTTTCATAGATACAGTTTATAAAAACCTTTACAAAATAGCATTTATATTGGGTTTGTGATTATTTTTAATTTGTGTTTCACAGCTGAATATCCATAAGGGCACTTAGTTTTTAGGCTCAGCAAAACTAATAAAATGTTCTTTTTTGGCTAAAATAACGTACCAGTCGATAAGAGAGATAGGCTATTGAGAAAAGTGTATCAATGTAATGATTAGTTATTTCCTCTTGCGTATGAAAAATTAAGTTTAACTATAAAAAAAGATAGTTGCAACAGGATATGGAGTTGATGGGAAATGCAATCAGATCTTACACTGTCTCACAGTTGGTTCTCAACATGAACCTATTTTATCTTTCCATGTTACAGTTGTAGCCAAACAAATACATATATGGATTTTTTTAATGCTGCCACTTGAATGCTGAGGATCTATATCTCTTAATCCAAGCTGCTGCTCGTGGTGGGAATATCCTTTAACAGATCTCAAACTCAGCTGCAGCGTGCCTAGCAACACGATGGTGCTGGAGCTGACTTTGCCAAGAAGTGCGAGAGGTTCAGGAGGCCAACATTGCTGTGGGGGAAGAATGTCAGTGAAGGTGGCAGTGCCCTGCCCAGCCATCCTCCAGGGTCAGCTAATTTGCAGATCTTTCAGTTTTGTTGTCACTGTCACCAAAAGGAAAAGTTTAAACTTTTGACTTCATCTCCCCCCCTACATTACCTCTGCCTCTCTTTAGGCTGTTTTATGGAGTGGTGCATCATTCTACTAAAGAACTGAGTTAGATTTATTTTGTTGGGCTTTTTTGATTAAAATATTTTATGTATGTCATTTGAGCG